GGCGGCGGCCGTGGGCAGCGTGGGGCGCCTGTCCCAGTTCCCCCCCTACGGACTGGGCTCGGCCGCCGCCGCCGCCGCCGCCGCCGCCGCCTCCACGTCTGGCTTCAAGCACCCCTTCGCCATCGAGAACATCATCGGCCGGGACTACAAGGGCGTGCTGCAGGCTGGCGGGCTGCCCCTGGCGTCCGTCATGCACCACCTGGGCTACCCGGTGCCAGGCCAGCTTGGCAACGTCGTCAGCTCCGTGTGGCCTCACGTGGGCGTCATGGATTCGGTGGCCGCGGCCGCCGCCGCCGCGGCCGCCGCCGGGGTCCCTGTAGGCCCCGAGTACGGAGCATTCGGGGTGCCAGTGAAGGCCTTGTGCCACTCTGCGAGCCAGGGCCTTCCAGCTGTGCCCGTGCCCATCAAGCCCACGCCCGCGCTCCCTCCCGTCACCGCGCTCCCGCCGCCGGCGCTCTCCCTCCCCGCGGCGTCCCAGCCGCCGCCGGCGCCGTCCACCGTGTGTTCCGCGGCTGCGGCCTCGCCGGCAGCCCCTCTGCTGGATCCCACGGCCCCGAGCGCGCCCGAGAGCAAGGGCGGCCCCCTGCACTCGGTGCTGGTGCACTCTTAGGCATCCCGGGGCGGGTGGGACTGCACGGAGAACCGGAGAGGAAGAGGGCGCCCGGGGGAGGCGGGGCGCAGCCGGCCAGGCCCAGCCCGGCGCGAAGGAGGTGTTCGGCCGGACAAACGGATCCGAAGAGTGGATTCTCCAGCGGTCTGAATAAGTGGATTCTCCAGTGGTGTCTGTGCTTAGACTAAGTTGTACAATCAGATTAAGGAAAGCCTTTGCAGGTAAGAGTTTCTATTGAAATTATTATAATCGGTAAGTTATGGGGAGGGAGCAAAGGAGGTTTGGGAAAGCCGCACTCGCTGGCACATTGGAAATGGCTCCTCACCCTTAGTCCTGGGAGCAGAAACTGGACACTAAGCCTCCCCGGGAGAGATCCGCCAGGGACGCCGAATCGGATCTCACCTACCAAGGTTCCCTCTCGGCTGGGCCCATCCCACAGCAGCCGTCTCTAGAGCATATTCAGGACAAAACTGCCATCCACCGAGGAAATCTCGTTTTAGTTGAGAAGGAAAAGAGAGTGCGCTTGATGCGGTTTTTTCCTAGTCGGCTAAATGGGGCGGACACGGTGTCACGAGTAAAGTCGCTCTGGGGGGAGCGCAATGGGAGCCCCAAAAGGTCTCTGGGAAAGTAACTTTCTTGGGTCTGACCTCCAGGTCGAGAAGGGTAGGAGGAGCCGTTAAAGCAATTAGTTTACACAAAAGAGAAGGGCAGCGGCTTTAAAGGCAAAGCCCCAGATTCCAAAAGTAAAGTTCGGGGAAACACAACGAAAGAAAGATAGTAAAGGCGACTTTCCACCTGCAAATCGTTTGTGTATTAATTGTGTGAGAGATTGTATTAAGGAGCCCAAGAATTTACTGAATTCCCATGATCCGTTCCCTTTGAAATTTTAAGAGGGAAAAGTCAGTTCTCTCCACAGGACAAGCCCCCCGCCCCCACTCTAACTCACAAATGCGAGAAAAACCTGTCACGTCGCCCAGCAGTCTCGGGTTTCGTAGCTGTGCCCTCCAGGCTCCTTGGACGGAGACATTCAGAGAGCTTGCCACCTTCGCCCGCTGTGCTTGATTTTGGTGTCCCAAACGCTCTTGGGGTGCGCGTGTCTGTCGAGCAAATTCTTCAGTTTCAGTTTGTGAATGAAAAAGAAATTTGCCTTGTCGTTGTTGCCCTTCCCCCATTTTGAGCCCTGGGAATAGCACTTTACTCGCCACAAACTTCTTGGAAACAAGGGGGCGGAGTGGGGAGGGATCAGATTTGCCCTTTTCGGCTTGTGTCCCCTCGCGTTCCGTTCGGGTTATGACTTCGTTCCTGTCTGCCGGTTTTGTACGCGGTGTTCTCCATTAAAGCTTCTCTCCGGACCTACTGGTGCCTGTGTGAACGTGTTTAGCTTCTCCAGGCCACGGTTTCAGTGCCAAGGGGCCAAGGGAGTCCGCAAACCTTCACCCTCTCCTTTATTTCTGACCTTCAGAACTTCAAAGAGCAAGTTCACAGGTGAGCTGCTCCTACTGACAGGTTTTTTCCATTTCTTCTTTTATCCATTGGTTCTATTTCCTCTACCTATTTTCATCACGCTCGTTCCCTGACTAAGCATGATACAGGCTGAATTAGCAAACAGCCGCAACAGTGACCTTTTTCTATTACCTCCACCAGGACAAACCTGTCCTCAAGGGCAGGCCGGGATGGGACACTCGGTGCCAACGGCTCCCCTTTAAATCTGCGGGTCTGAACTGGGAGAGGCATCAAGGTTGGCGCTGGGACACTGTCCCTAGTCCCGTGGCCCACAGTCACGAGGTGGGTGGCACCTGCCACCGCTTTGCGAGGACCTGTTGCGCACCGCGCCCGGTGCGCGCTCCCAGAGCGGGGCTTCTGGGTGACCACAGCCCAGGGCGGGAGCCACAGAACGCGGGGTGTGTGAGAGCCTGCGACCCTGCCGCCCGCGCGGGTGCAGCAGTCCAGCGTGCGGAGCGGCCGCGGAGCTAATCCAGGAGCGGGGCCCCTGCCGGTTGCGGGGAACGCGAGTTGCCCTCCTCCCTGAGGCCTCCAGCAAAGCTCCGCTTTGAACCAGCTTCCCTCTGTCCAGCCAAACCCAACGAGTCCCCTCCGATCTTCCATCAGAAGAAAATTAAAGCGGAAGAAAAAAGGACCTGCCCACAGTAATATCGCTGGAGGGATTTGGGCTGGGTCCTGTGCGCATCCCTTATTTACAAATCTCGTTACAGCCACCGCTGAGTCTGCCCTCTCCTGAGAGACTCGTCCCGGTCAGGCCTTTGACGTTCAGGGCTCAGCATTGCAGCGCAGGTTATTTCTACCGACTTTCAGACTCTGCAAAGTTCCCGCGGAGTTTTCTTCTCCACGAGTCTGAGGCTGTTGAAAGAAAGGAAAGAAAGAGGGAGGAGAAGACACTGGCGTGGGGGTGAAAGAGTTCGGGAGAGTTTGGAGTCTAGTTTCTCTGTCCACATGCGAGTGGGTTGATGCCTGAAGCCCTGGGCCAGGTCCCTCATACGGGGGCCACGAGACAGTCGGCACTGCCCCTTCCACCTGCCAGAATGGTCCAGAGAGCTTTGTAGCTGTGCCCCTTCCTCCGGGAGAGGAGCGTGGCGCCCCGTGTAGGTCTGCACCCAGAGGGCGAACCCCAGTCTGGCCCGGAGAGTGAAGCTCCGGGGCAAAGGCGGGTCATGGACCCTCAGCTTTCCCCTAGACCCTCCAGCCTCCCGCTGCGGAGACCTTTCAACCCCAGTGAGGCAAATGGTTCTTTTGTTTTTAGGATGGGGAAGATGGAAAGGCAAAGGGAGTGTAGAGAGGATTCTAAAAGCAAGCTTTCATTCAGAAAAGGACCCTGGTACCCAAAGAAGAAAGAAGGGGCACCTGAGACTGAAGAATGTGGAAATAAACGGGGGGGGGGGCGCTTTTCAGCCAAAGCTCTGATCCCAATGAAGGGTCCCAATTACAACCCTCAACTGCCCTGAAAACTTCTCTCAACTAAGACGGTGTCTGCTTGCTGTTGAATTATAACTGAATTGTGTGAGCTCTCATACCTACAAGTCCCCGCTGGCCATGTTGCCAAGCCCGGAACCTAGCAGGAACAGTCTTGACAGACCCCAGAGACAGCAGTGCAGGGAGAATCTATTCCCACTGCTTCTCAGCAGGAGCAGATCTCTCGATCCATGTGGCAAAAACACACCCACAGATATTGGAGCTAGACTGCTGTGCTGGTTTTAAAAGTGTTACCAGGGGTCAGTCAAGCCATTAACAAAGTATTGTCCTAGCAATAATGGAAGTTTTTGGAGAACCGCCAAAACTAGTGATAAGATTAGTACGTTAATGGTGATCATTTGGTAGTGCTCTCAACTGGTATACCGTCCCAGCTGATCTCACAGATATTTGTCCTCTAGTCACTTGTTGGGATAAAGGGAAAGTTAGTTCTGGACATAAGTGAGATGGAAGTAGAAGCATTTATAAATTTAAGGCTGCCTCAACTCATGAAGATAATAGAAATCACTCTTGGTAAGCAAAGCACTGGTGGAGATAAGTTAAGCTCCTGGTCACCTGGATGATAGGAAAGACCACCATTGCTCAGCTGGTGTCCTACCTAATAAATGAACAGAACCTTGAGAAAAAGGAGAAGTAATGGGGGAATGGGGTCTAGTGTATGTGTCCTTAAAATAAAGGCAGAAAGAAAACAACTCCGAGTGATCTATTTGGTTTTATTTCCCTGGGAACTAAGAGAAATAAAAGCGGAGAGAGGGTGAAGCTACATTAGCTATGGTCACAAGAAAAGGCCCTCCTGCATGGGCTGGAATTGGCACTGTTGGCATCTGGCACTCAGGAAGCCTGTCAGCCAGGCTGGCTTGTGGTCAATTATCTCTTTAAGTAGACTGGCATTGGTCCAGCCAGGGAGGAGGACTAGTTGCATTCATGGGAATCTGAGCCAATTAGCTAGAAGTGACACTGCTGAATTCCAAATTCATTTGGAATATTTGAAGGTTTGAAAGGTTGGTCAACACATGTCCTCAGACTCAAAGGTATCATTTGCCTGCTTGACACCAGTACAGGAACTTCAGAAGAGCACGGCAACAGAATCCTTAGGAGGGGAAGCATGGGTCACCAGAGCCACAGATTGATTCCTCTTCAAGTCCTTTTCCTGACAGACGTGCTGTTTCTGAAGGCACAGAATAATGCGTAGATCCTTGTAAATTACAGAGAGATCTAAAGCCCTCAATCCTCCCTTGAATAAGAATTCTCATTCCTCATGGTACCTAGCTATGACATAAGAAGAAAGGACAGATTTGGGGCATGCACAGACCTGGGTGATGTGGCCTTAGTAATAATCAGATTGTGTATCTGTAATCCTCACGGAGGTTAAGGGGCAGGACGGGTTGGAGTTGAAAATGGGAAACCAAAGAAACTATTACAAAAATCAAGGATAACCTCTTTGTGGGCTTAAGGGCAGAATGGGGGTCTACGCGCAAGTGGGAAGTCCTTGAGTTCAGGAGGGCAAAACAGTTGCTTCAAGTCCAACATTCACGTTTTGCTCATTCAGAGTATTTTCATTGTCTTTTCAAGTTCAAATGCTACCTCAGACATACCCTTTGGGGGAGCTTAAAGAGATGGGCTTGGGGTTTGAAATCAGTCTTAAACCATTGTTTAAATGGTATGAGTTTGGCAAAACTCCAGACATACTCTGTCCCAAGCACTGTTCCCCTTTTACTATCCCCTGTGTGTTTTAAGAAAAATTCAAGCCATATGTTGTTCTTTCCTCCTTGCATCCAAATGTAACTTTATTGAATTTTACCATGGTCCATGAAATATAAATTCTGGGTTTTAATCCTTAATATATTCATATGATCTACACACAGCCCCATGACATGCACATATATCATTAAGCAGAAAATAAAGCATCTGAGAACTATAGTTGTATTATTATAGTAACATTTCTTTAGACTAAAGAGCCATGCTGAGAACACCACATTTAAAAGGATTTTATAAAGTTATCAAAAAAAAAAACC